GCTTCTTGGTTTGTTCTTACACTCCAAACAATCCGGTCAATGAGCGTACCAACCTACGTGTCTGCACTGTCTCCATGCAAAGAAATTTCTTCACTCGCGTTTACGCAAGAATGAAGTGGGCCGCATGTATTTAGAAGGTCTCTGCGCTTTTCCGTACGCTCCTTGAACTATTGCACAATGCCCTTAGGCCAACAACAACAGCCAAATTTTTGGTGTCTTGGGTTGATGAAGCGTGCCGGCCCCCGAGTCAGGAAGCTGGAAATGGATTCTTAGGGTACCATGTCAGATACCACTGTTTCACTTATGAATTAGCTAACAGGAGAGCGGCGTTAATCAACCAGCGTAGTGCTTGCGTTGGAAGACTGGGCATTACGTATATGGTGAATGCAGTATGGCTGGTGCACACTCAACCCAAAATTCTTCGAATTCTCAAGTACGCAGTATGATAAATTATGTTATCTTAAATATAAATTGCTATCGCGGTCACACCACCGCTAAAGATCAATTCTTTTGGCTACTCACTCCACTGGTATGAAATTAGTGGTTGGTCATGTGCTGCGATAAAATTTGCGACTTGTGAAATGACTAGTTGTAAATTAACCTGCCACGCGTTGATCGAATGGCCTAATGTGGATATATCTCCTAATGATAAGTGCCTTATGAGCCACCGTGAGCCATAGAAAACAGTGATCCGCCTGTACATCTCATTGAGTGACCTTGAGGTGTTATCCCTTACTTGACATGTGCCTATCCTTTCCGTGCACGCACGATGTTCCCTCTCTCCGGTCTTCTCTTCAGCACCAACCAACCTGTGCAAATATGTGCTTTGCGTGTCTTGTTCCAATAATACTACTTCCCATACGTGCTCATTTCATGACCGGTGTGTGCCGTTACTACATCCCTGTGGACGACGGGTGGTGCTGACCTCTTGATTACCCGCGCCACATTGTGGACAAGCCATGTGAGGAACGAGTTAAATGCATACTGTATGTAAACTGTGGAAACATGGATGATTAAAGCAAGTGAAAATGCAACCAAATCACTTCGGAGAATTCACTTCAGGTAATATCCGCCTACTCCACATGGGTTGTGTATAATATGAAGTTTATCAAGTGAACAAGTTGAAGTAAGATTGCGAAAGGTGTCTTCATCGATCTCTCTCCAGTTAACATTTAAGGATTATAAATGCCACTTCCCTCAATACAACGTCAGCAGAAATTCGACATCTGTCTTCGGATGTGTAGAAACAAATTCAGCCACAATCCAAAGCTATCCGCACTCCGACCTTCCAGTTTCTTGCGCCTTAGTTAATCATATTTTTATGCCTTGTATGACTCAAGGAACCTAATAGGGTTACGTGGAGAAACGTGTCTTAGAAATGATATCAGTTTTAAGAAATAACATTGATGTTATATCTGGCTCTATACTTCTAGAGGCTGTTTTGCGATGGTGCTCGCAAAAACAGATAAGAACATCAAATATAACCAAACCCAGTAATTTCATTTAATAACAGGCAGAAAGAAGAAAAGAGGCATGGCGACGGAACTCGGATCCGAACGGCGACTAGCCGATTGCAACTCGCAGACCTATCCCAACACACCATCCAGCCAGGGAAACAGTTGAGCGGCTAAGCCTATTAGGACCAATCGTATGTTCGGGTTCAGCTTGTGCGTGAATCAACTCCCAAGTTGTAGTCCAATATAAGAGTCAAATATTTCGCGCCTAACGATTTAGGTACAATGTGCAAGCGGGACTGTGAAGCCCGGTTGGAATGAAAGATCGCTCAACCAGCAAATTTCGCAACAATGCTGGGCACATTGCCAGATGGTCTATTATCCTAGTAATGCTTTTCAAATGTTAGCGCTTAAGATACTTATTGGAGCACACCATACAACAGGGACAAATACGGTTAGTTTGCTTCGTGAAAGTCCAAAAGCATAAATATGTTACAGGGGAAAGATGAAATGTTCTCGGGTAACGAAAACGAAGTAGAAGCAAAAGATACCATGCTGAGTTCATGGAGTTTTGCCACTTACCAAATGGTTCGCGGGAGATCATATGTCGCCAGGTGGCATCAAACTCAACTAGTTGACTGAGTTTCATGGAACATGACAATGGTGATCACGAAATTCACCGCACGCCTCAAATTCCTCGCAGCTTGTGACTGGTGGGCAATAGAGGGTAAGAGAGCACGCTGGGGTCGGAGAACAGTGGGTGTTCCCATGTTGATCTTTTTGCTCCTTTCTAAGCCGTTAGACTTGTCTTCGGACACAAACCATTTCCATCCATGAATCCATTGGTTTGCCCAGAATATACCAACTGCCGCTTAAAGCACAATGGATTAATCAAATCCCAATTTGGTAAGCATTATGTGAGCTGTCGCCCGATACGAATTTACGGAAAATTTGATTCGTTTGTAACAACGTACAAGCCCCCTCCCATTTTACGCTTTCTCGGATGACCCTTCTAAATTTCATCGACCTTAAACGTTTAAAATAAGTTTCCCTGGTAAGAACTTATAGCCATCGTAGCATGTGTACGGTAATTCTAAAGGCTCAGAGGTCACGTAGGTTGCCGCCATGGAGCCGAAAGTATACAGCGCGGTCCTTGTGTTGGTTAGTTATACCAGAAAAGCACTGGGCTTGCTGGAGGAGTATCATTCTGTCGTTCTGCGATGCGTGATCTGTTTTTGGAACTTGTCTGTAGTTTCATTTGTGTTGGTTAGTTATACCAGAAAAGCACCGGGCTTGCTGGAGGAGTATCATTTTGTCATTCCGCGATGCGTGATCTGTCTTTGGAACTTGTCTGTAGTTTCACTTTGCTTCTGCCAACAACCCTCGACTAATTGCTACCAACTAGAACCCGACTTTTGCGCCGAAAGTATACAGCGCGGTCCTTGTGTTGGTTAGTTATACCAGAAAAGCACCGGGCTTGCTGGAGGAGTATCATTTTGTCATTCCGCGATGCGTGATCTGTCTTTGGAACTTGTCTGTAGTTTCACTTTGCTTCTGCCAACAACCCTCGACTAATTGCCACCAACTAGAACCGCAACTTTTGCCACCCCAACATTAACGAAAATCTCATTGAAGCTTTAGTGTTTTTTGTACATTGTGAGTATCTTGTCTATTTCTAAAAGCTCCGTCTTCTAGAGGAGGAGTCAGCGTACTCTTTTTGCAAAATTCTGACATTCTATTCATATGAAACACGTAAAACTCTTCATTTACCAACAACTCAAGCACGCTGGTGCATCAAACAACTCTACGGGATGATCTTATCAAAGCAACTTCCTCAATACTTCAGAACTGGTGCCGGAAAATGTCGTATGACACGTACATTTCCTGTTTCTTGTGGAATTAACAAGATCCTTGTACTTAGCTTTCAGTCCACCCAGGGAACGGGCGAATGCTCAGACTTCAGGTGGCAACGTTGGTCTTTTGCCTTATGTGATTTCGTGATGAGAGTGAGAGATTTCATCCAAAGTTGATGTCGTGCTGGACTATTCGGCAAACCACTAGGTGTAATCACGCACATCACCGACGGTTTATTGCATACAAAGCCATGGCCATCGGCATCTCAAAGTGAACTGGATAGTCACATAAAAAGCAAGCGATTCAATTTGAAGGCTAGAGCGCCAATGCACTGTTTCTATCTACTGTGAGGAAGGACGTCTCTGCCATATTGATGGTGACGCCATCGTGAGTATGACATCTTTATTTATTTCTGTCGCACGTAAGAGCGCTAGAAAATATTCACTCTCTTTTCAGCTTCTTTTATTCTCTGTGAAAACGTTTCTCTTAGTCTGACGGAAACCATTTCAACATACAACCATCAAGTGTGCCAGCGGCATCCATGATATCATTTTCCCTCGGGGTTGTACGAGTACACATTTTTGGTGGAAGCTGGTAAGAACGATCGCCACAGACTAACAACAAATCTATTTCCACCTTAGAAAAATAGCCATGGTGACAACGGAACATTAAGAGTGGCACCGATTGTCTCTTGCGTGGTAACAGCGCCACCAAATTCAGCAGAACAAAATTTTCCATATAAATGAGTTTATGAGTCCACTACAGTAACGCATCTCTTCCTAAAATTGACTGAATTTAAGTTGACGAGCCTTGTCCGTCTGGTCCACATACAGGGCAAACCACCCCGGAAGGGATAAGATTTTATTGACTATATAACTGGAAGGGGAAGGTATTATCCCGCCAAGAACCATTCATTTAAAAAGCAAAAATCGATAAGAACAATGTAAATGCGCTTTTGTTATCCTGTCGGTTAGAACAAATGACGGTGTCGTTTGAAAGCTTGGTAGATTTGATGGTGCTTCGGTCCACTTCAAGCTTAGGATGAATTCAAATTCAGTGCATGGATGATTGTGCTTAGAACTAAGAACATTTTGTGAAAGGATACATAGTAAGGAATAGCAAAAGAACTCGTCATTCAGCTAAATCCAACCAACTCTCATTAAGCCAATTCGTAATATACGCCCGAACTTGGATCGTAGTAACAGTCCAAAACGGCATCATAGAGCAATTCCAATACAGTGTCCTGTATGCATTTATCCGGCGAATCGATATCACCGGGACCAGTGGGAGAAGGGTTGTTGGTTGGGGCACTGTTAGTAAGTTCAGGAAGAAGTGGATTGTTCGGTAAACAAACCGGTTCCACGGATCCTGATACCAAGTTAGGTTCGGAGGAAGCTGAGTGCAACTGCCAACAAGACGAGCTTGTAGTACTGCTGCTTGGCCTGAGAGGAAGAGAACAAATAAATCTGTTGTAGTGGGGCTGATGTTAATTGAAGCTGGTCAAAAATGATGCCATACGGAAAATTTCGCCACAAATGGGACAGAAAATGTGTTGGCTAAAGCAATGTTATTTTCCCATCAGGGAAGGGTAGCAAAAATGAAAACGTTGCAATTCAAAACCATAGGGATAACCAGTAAATGAGGAATCTAATCAGTGCCCAAATGCAAAGTTCGGACATTATGAGATATGTCAAATGCGGACATTCATAGATCTTACCACTTCGTGTAAATTTCGCATCTGTGATTTATGTAAAATGATGCAAACGGTATCTAACCTTACACTGCAATTGTATTTACCGATGTCTCAACAGGTACTCTGATACATTAGATAACTGGAATGAGGCATCCACCCGCTTCCTAGCCGACCTTTAAGTTGCAGATAAAGGAAGGGCTGCTTACTCCTTGAAGTTAGGAGGAAGCCATTTGCAAACAACGGCAGTATTACTGGGATAGTAGTGTCTGATCAGCGGGTACGCAATTGAAAGATTCATGTATCAAATGACCGACGTCAATGGCCTTCAAAATGAAGTCAGTGATCAGAGGATACGATGCTATGGGGGAGACATAGGAAAAGTTCCATAATGTTGGATATGCAGCAGATTCGATCGCCGTCGTTTTCACTGTACGGCATTTACCTAGACACCGACATCCATAGGAAAAGTTCCATAATGTTGGATATGCAGCAGATTCGATCGCCGTCGTTTTCACTGTACGGCATTTACCTAGACTGTCACCGACATCCAAAGTGCATGTGACACATAGTTTTATTTGGTCCGTGGTTGAATGTAATTTGGGATCAAACAGTTCTAGTGCACACTGCCATGTGTCATCCTAGGCGCACAGTGCACGCCTTACCACTCAGGATGCCTCGCGTTTAGCTCGCGGTGGACCTCCAATAGATACTAGTTTAGCTTCGATAATCCTATAATGTTGTGCCTACTGAATAGGTTTGACCTTAGGGTCTGTATGGGTCACTCATCAAATCAGGCATCACAAACACTCAAACCGCGTGACAATTCCTGCCCCTCTTGCAACCTTAGCCGACAACTTGTACACTACAACTTACCACCCATTTTTGCTTACGCGGCCACCAATTGCGTAACGCGCCAGGCTTATCAACTTCAACATATCAGGTCAAGTTACATTCACGTCCGTGCAAGCATCAAACACGAAGTGACACCCCTCTCTTCACACCGCATACAATAAATAGGCATACAACTCGGCCCCCAACACATACACTCGCTCGCGCGCAGGGAGCAGGAAGTCAACCACTCTCCACAAGTCCACGGACAACTATGGAACACGTGTAGCAGCCACACTGCAGAGAAAACACGTTCCCGCCGTCCTGACTTTCACCAAGGAACTCTCACTGACGACAAATTCCTCTTTGCTTGCTTGCTCCCGTTTCGCATTGTGTTCATTTTTATACGTGTGGCACCTCACAATTGGCAACTACACTAAAGACCTTTATTAGTGCATATACCTTCTGAATTGTGTTATGACCATCACCACCTGTGCACTAATAGATCTAAGGAATGTCACTTAGTGATGGTCTGACTGAGTCTGCCTTCGCTGAACTCTGCTTTATTTTCTAGTTAATCTGCTACCGTTATCTACCCCAGTCAGCCTTGAGTGGAATAAAAAGGCTTTTTTCGTCAGACTTATTAATTCTAACCAACTGACTACAAATATTGAACAGCTAGAAAGTTGGAGCGGGAAAAAACCTTAGACACTAAACTGAAGGCACTAAAGTTTGATGTATTTTGCTTACCAGCAAACAAAATACTTCTTTAGACCAGTATTTTAACCCAGATGGTTCAAATGTACACCCATCTGCACTGCTTAAGAGGCTTATGAGCTTCGAATCCGGTAACCCATAGTACAGAAATCACTTTGAATCAATGCACCTAGCTGACACAGGGGAAACAGCTAAAAGTATGGTTTTTTTTGTCAAACTGACCAAATACTCCGATGCACGTATCGGAAGGTCCGTTTCAGATGATGCACGACTCGGATGTTCAAGCGGTCTTAGCACACAGGAACGGTTACAGTGAAGGTCACTTGACAACGAACATTGACTACAGACTGATTTCAAATGCGCTTAATGGATCCAAACTTTCTACATTGTGAACATCGTTGAGAAACCTGCTGCCCATCCACTACGAAGGGTGACACAATACGATCACGTGACCGTTAGCTATAAATGGCAGTTACTCATGTTGAAGGACTTGTGTTGATTCTCACCACGCCGATGTGCACATAGAGATGTCCACTTGCCTTTTGGTTGATGATAAGGTCAACTTAGATGGACTGGAGTTGGAAAGCTCTCCCCTTTCCTCTACAGGGACATTTCAGCATGATCCAACTCACAATCTCTTGCTTACGGGATCACTGGTCACACACAAGTTACCAGTGCATGATCTTACAAGGATATATTGCCGACAAGACAAGCCGTGGATCTCAACTACTCAGCAACTGCTATATCTTAAGCGGACAATTCCCCTAGACTACGCCCAACACAAGGACATCGTAAGTTTAAAGTTCAGGTCTCCAAAATTATACGGAACGCTAATCAGAACTCATGGAAGTCACCAGCAGAGGTAGGAATAGCGTGACTAGATACTTCTAGACTATTTCTACTAAAGGAATTGGTAATTTCTAGAAATCCATGTATCACCGAGACAAAAGGTCATCAGCCGTATGCATGCACCGGTTCTCTAGCACTAGCAGACATTTCCGGTATCGAAATGGGCAGTGAACCAAAGTTTCTTCATTGATGGTTCCCGCAGGTGCGACAGACTGAATTAGGCAAGAGAAACAATTCTAAGTTTAAAGACCGACAAATCAGCCGGATAAGATAAACTTTCTATGAAGCTATCCAGAGGCGAAGGGCATTTGGTCAACCTCACATTTAGATAGCTGAACACGTCAAACCTTTTGCTTATTTCCGGCCACTGTTTCGATTTTCAAAACAGGAATGCAAACCCAACTACAATAGTATGAGAAAACAAACCACCTTGACTTTGATACTACGGTAGCTGATGAGACAGCTTTTGACAGAAATAGGTTGTGCCGTATTGTAATGGCGGCTATTTGTCCTTGTGATTCATGAACTAATGGCCGAACAGTTTACAGGGCACGGATTTTGATGCCAGTGGATTACAACGAATTCAGCTATTTTTAGAAGTCGTAATATTGCAATATAAAGTCCTTACGTCATTTCCATGTCGTACAGGACACCATATCGACTACAGTCCGGAGAATTTTCGAATGGACTACTCATCACCTCCGTTATTCGTCCTAACTTAAACCCTCCACGTCATCCACTATCACAAATCCCCTAAGTTCACTGTGGTGCAGCAATGACTTAAGGTTTGCAGCTCACAACGTCCTACAAAACTTTGAGAAAATGCAATGGATTTGGACCCGCAGTTCAATGTCACAACTGAGTTAAGCTTTTGAAGGTTGACTGCTGTGGGTCAGATGAGCAATTATAAGCTGCCTGCCAGGTACAACGTTTTTTCAACGGGAGCTCCCGTCTGTTTCAATCAAAAAAGTGCAGACACTGAAAGACGACTGCCTTTGTATGGAGTGACCTGATTGGGGGGCGATGATCATATGCATATCCACAGCAACCTGCATATTGAGACCACCCTGGGAGAGCACAAAAACTGGCCTTTGTGTGAGCAAAAGTTTCCACACGAACTGCAAATCAGTAGTGTCTTATTTCGACCCCTTTGGGTTCTGACCCAAAAGATCCCCTGTTATCCAACAACTGAGTAGAAACGGTGTACTTTCTCGACGGAACACTAGTCAGATAGCTGCTGAAAATTCTCCGAAAAATGGCATAAATTAGAGATTCAATCGGAATCCTTGTCGAAACTTAATTAGTGCGCAAACGGCTGTAGTTCGTAGTGTGTAGTTTATACATGTGAACCTAACGAGTATTTTTTCTCTCTGAAACGGCGCTTACACATGAGCAATCGCTTTACAGAGGTCAATATCATACACAATAAAGTGTTAGCCAGTGAATTTTCAAATATCCAATTTTCCCACTAACTCATTCACTGGCAAGAACAAATGTCATGAACTAGAGAATTTTAACCAACCGAAAGGAACTGTATTAACGCCACCAGAGTAGTGAGAACAACCTAACCATAACCATTTTTGAACCGCCGTTCCACCAGGCTGTCATGGAATCTCCCATGACGATGGGTTGTACTCCCATCCTGCTGATTTTTGACCAGATCGAGTTGGCCAAAACATATTTTCCTTTTCAACCTGTGTGGGTAGGCTCTATTCTATGGAAGAGAAACCTGATTTCACCGCGAGCTCTCAAATAAATGCCATCCTCGACTAAACGGACAGTGCATAGTGTATCATGAACTAATCAGCCTATGTGGATGAATATTGCATAAATACGGGATCAGACTTTCATGCGGACCGAAAAAGAAAGTCAAAGGAACTCGACTTCCACGCGAGCTCAGTCTAGTTGGCAAATTGTCTCATTTCGAGGGTCGGGGTTTTGGCCACCGAGTACGAAGCAAGCCAGCTATCGATAATATCATGACAGAAGTGATACAGTTGGTGCAAGTTGGTGACGATTTATCAGGAACGAGAAATGCTTTGGAGTTAAGGTCCAATGAGAAAAATAGTTACGCACACCGAATGACTATAATTAGAGGGCAGTGAGGTTAGAACTTTTAGTGGGAGTTTGTGTATTGTTTCGGCATAGTTAGCGATCGTTGTTTGACTATGTTCTTTAGGAAGGACTTCCAGTCCATTTCATTGGAATCGAATTCGGCTCATAAAGGGGCGCCCAAGAGGGGACGAATACACACATACACAAATATATATTCCGAGGCCAACAGTCGGTGACCGACTTGAAGGTACCCAGTAAAACGGAAAGCGTTTGGTTTTTTTGCTGGATGGTGAACGTTGACCCTGCAGTCCGAGGGGCTTGCTTTCTCGCATTCGTCTAACTGAATCTTCCTCGCAACACCAAAACAAGGCACTCCATTTAAGCTTACGGTTGAATATACGCAGAGACTTCTGGTAGGCTCCAGCAGTTTATCTCTTAGTTGGAAGCTGACGACGAGGCTTTATGAATAGATTCTATAACACCCAACGGAGGAAGCGGATCTTCTTTGAATGGAAGACTGATTGTTTCTTTCATACGTCACAGTTTAGAGAACGTAACCATGTTGAATGGCCATTCATATTAAACACATGCTTTACAAACTGGAATTATTTTTGCAAACATTCTATGGCGCGGATGACTATTGCCCTCTCAGTTAGACATCATACTAGGTTTATCTCCATTTTATTACAGCGATATTGTCTTATCCAATCCACTTCTGCTTTCTGTAGGCTTTAGACCAAGTAATTCGGTCCACTTTCTTGCATAAATAGGCGTCGAGGAAATGCGATTGGCTACTGCACTCAAGTTTCAAGAGAAACTGAATATCAGGATAAAAAGTGTGGCAGGATTCCAAGACAGAAGTAGAACTGCTAGTATCTCCTAAACTAAAGAGCTGTAATCCAAGTGGTGACACTAGGGTATAAACTGCTGGATTAGCGAACCTAGTGACCAGGCTTCCAGCTTGCTCGAAGAGAGACCTTAAATGAGGGGAACTGGTGGGGCTCCAGTTGCAATATCATGCTTCTGCAAGTACGTTCAATTATTAAATCCTCTGCGGGTGAACAGCAGTACTAGCTCCATTGGATCTGAAAAGTGAACGTCGATACAAAGGGTGCCCAGTCAAGTCACAGATATAATCAACGGTTTGCGGGGGCTTAACCCTGGTTTGCAAATTAGTTTGGTGTTAACGAGCTACACAACAGGAATTCAAACAAATTGTTGTTTTATAGTGCTAAGGTGAAACTGCTTCACGAAGGTCGTTTCGTGCTCCAGTTGTAATGATATTGAAACCATTGGAATAGTTTCCTTCTTATGACTGTTCAGAAAGTTGACGGTAAACCTAGATCACTCACCACCAACTTTGCTTCCTTGGGGTTGATTAGCTAGTCCTAATCTCTGAGGTTCTCATTCCGTACATGAAAAACATAGCGGAGCATTGTGGAAGCAGTCATTCATTTTCAAACATATGGTCGTGTTGGCTTGTTCGCTGAGCTGGGCAATTTGGTTGCAAACGTTTCATCACCAATCGAGGTGGCATCATCAGTGCGTAGTTGTGCGTAGCGGTGGGTTAGTGGTTGTGCCTCGATTGGTGATGAAACGTTT